TATTTTGGACGACATGCTATACGATGACTTTTTATCACATTTTGGACGACATGCTATACTATGACTTTTTTATCATATTTTGGACGACATGCTATACTATGACTTTTTTATCATATTTTGGACGTCATGCTATACTATGACTTTTTTATGACATTTGGGACATCATGCTATACTATGACTTTTTTATCATATTTTGGACGACATGCTATACTATGACTTTTTTATCATATTTTGGACGTCATGCTATACTATGACATTTTTATGACATTTGGGACGTCATGCTATACCATGACTTTTTTATCATATTTTGAACGACATGCTATACTATGACTTTCTGATGATATTTTGGACGACATGCTATACTATGACTTTTTTATGACATTTGGGACGTCATGCTATACTATGACTTTTTTATCATATTTTGGATGACATGCTATACTATGATTTTTTTATCATATTTTGGACGTCATGCTATACTATGACTTTTTCATGAAATTTTGGACAACATGCTATACTATGATTTTTTTATCATATTTGGGACGTCATGCTATACTATGACTTTTTTTATCATATTTAGGACGTCATGATATACTATGACTTTTTTATGAAATTTTGGACGTCATGCTATACTATGACTTTTTTTTTATCACATTTTGGACAACATGCTATACTATGACTTTTTATCACATTTTGGACGACATACTATACTATGACTTTTTTATGATATTTTAGACGACATGCTATACAATGACTTTTTATCACATTTTGGACGACACACTATACTATGACTTTTTTATGAAATTTTGGACGACATGCTATATTATGACTTTTTATGAAATTTTGGACGACAGACTATACTATGACTTTTTTAGGATATTTTGAACGACATACTATACTATGATTTTTTTATGAAATTTTGGACGACATACTATACTATGACTTTTTTTATCACATTTTGGACGACATGCTATACTATGACTTTTTCATGAAATTTTGGACAACATGCTATACTATGACTTTTTTATCATATTTGGGACGTCATACTATACTATGACTTTTTTATGAAATTTTGGACGACATGCTATACTATGACTTTTTTTATCACATTTTGGACGACATGCTATACTATGACTTTTTTATGAAATTTTGGACCACATACTATACTATGACTTTTTTATGAAATTTTGGACGTCATGGTATACTATGACTTTTTATCACATTTTGGACGACAAGCTATACTATGACTTTTTTATGATATTTTAGACGACATGCTATACTATGACTTCTTTATGAAATTTTGGACGACATGCTATATTATGACTTTTTATGAAATTTTGGACGACAGACTATACTATGACTTTTTTATCACATTTTGGACGACATGCTATACTATGACTTTTTTATGAAATTTTGAACGACATACTATACTATGACTTTTTTATCAAATTTTAGACGACATACTATACTATGATTTTTTATGATGTTTTGGACAACATGCTATACTATGACTTTTTTATCATATTTGGGACGTCATACTATACTATGACTTTTTTATGATGTTTTGGACGACATACTATACTATGACTTTTTTATGATATTTTAGACGACATACTATACTATGATTTTTTTATGATGTTTTGGACAACATGCTATACTATGACTTTTTAATCATATTTGGGACGTCATACTATACTATGACTTTTTTATGATGTTTTGGACGACATACTATACTATGACTTTTTTATGATATTTTGGAC